CGAGCACCTTTCAAAGCACCATTGATGGACTCGGACAAGTTGGTCGTCAACTGACCGCGTCGAGACCCTCCATCATGTGCTAAAGTCCACTTTTCTCGATCCATGTCCATCAAGTATCTGTGTGCATTGGGATTTTCCTCCCCAATCTTGTCCAAATACCGGTTCAGCTTCCAAACCTGAGATTGTTTTCCAGCAGCGTAACAAAAATCTTTCACCACAATGCTCTTAAACTTGGCGTTGACATTTGAACAAACATGCCTCAAACAAAATCGATGGGTGATGCGAGGGGGCCTAAACTCGGGCATTGAATCGATGGCACTTAAAATTCCAGAACCTCGATCCGAAATTATACAAATACCATCTGATATGCCCGAAAGTAAATGTTTGTCAATGCATTTGAAAAACCACTTCCATGCACTTGCGGTCTCTTCATCAACAATAGCATACGCAAGTGTTAAAACTTGTCGCATCCAAACACACAGCAAGCAACATCTTATGTTTGTACTTAGTGTACAAATGAGTTCCATCGACGCTGATCACCCGACGACAGTATTTGAAACCATCAATACATGGCTTGAAGGCTCAGAAGACGTATTTGATTATGAATTTCGATGGATGATTTGTCGCGTGATGTTCCCACTCAACAGCTGTGCCTGGATTCCTTTGTTGCAGTGCTTTCATAAATTTTGGCAACTTCTGGACCGAACTCTCCCATGTTCCATATACATTTTCTCTGCATCGCTTCAAAGTGTACCATGCCTTCATGTAGGATATCTCATATCCTATTTGCGCAGTCACAATCTCTCTTGCCTTTGAAATCTCACAAACTGGATTTTCACGAACACTTTTCAATAGAATTACGGCGCAATAATTGATGTTCAAGTTGCCATGATTGTTTGTCATCCCTTGCATACCACAACTATGATCGCCATCGTAGATCCCAATTCTAAATTGTCCTCTATCCCCAATTCTTGATGCTCTTAGCCTCCATCTGCAAGGTCTTGCTTCAGTGTCGTGTTTGTAGATAACCTTCCAAGTTCTTTTTGTACTTTCGATAACTTTAAACTCTCTTCTGGCAAATCGAATGGAGTGGTCTCTAACGGCTGAAATGACCATTGCTTTACTATAAAAAATCATCCCCTTTTCGAGAGTACCTTTGCTGCTATCATAAAATTTTGACCACATACCCGACGGAACATCAATGGAATCGGCTGGGATTTCAGGAAATGACAGAGAGTAGAACGAAGGTGGATCATAAAACTGAGTAGGAGGTTCTGCAAATGATGGATTGTTGACATGAACATGGGAAGTTGATGGAATTTCTGCCTGCGATATTGTTTGTACAACGTCATCAACGACTTCGATGTTCTCATCATTGTTCTCTTCACCACTATCATCATCGTCTCCATGGTCGGAGGGTTCAGAGTCGCTTCGAACATTTGGCCCATGTGCGTCTCCGAAAGGATCATCGTCATCATTATTATCACAATGACGAGTTTCATTAGGAAGATCAAAATTTTCATGAGCATTTCTCATGCCACTTGATTCCCCAATATGTACCCCAAGATTTTTATAAGAATGCCTCGATGGCCCCGCTTCAAAGCCCATATTAGAAAACCCTTGTGTAACCGCAACTAACTCAGGACTTGTTTGCATAAATGAATTGTACGCTTCATTCAAATCAAAATGTTGTGAAGGTCTCGAAGGGGAGTAGAGAGGTTCTGATGTAGTGAATTGTGAAGGTCTCGAAGGGGAATAGAGAGGTTCTGATGTACTGAATTGTGAAGGTCTCGAAGGGGAGTAGAGAGGCTCTGATGTAGTGAATTGTGAAGGCATCAAAGGATTGTATAAAGGCTGAGACTCAACATAAATATCTATGGAATCGTTTCCTTCATCCGGGTGCAAATAGATTTCTAAATCATCATCATTTGTTATCTGAGAAACTATCTCGCTCCACTGATTTTGATACCATCGTGATATTTTGCCCGACACCGATAACACAAATTCATTTCTATCTATTCGGCAACGTGAGTATATTTTCGCCAAGAAGTCTGAGAAAGATATATCGCGTTTCACTCGTACGACTGTATGATGAGATTGATCATAATTCACTGACAATCCATCATAAACAATCTGGCCTCCTATGTACACGAAAACTTTGACAGTATTCCTACCCGGAGTCGCCATTGAAACCCTATATTTTGATATTTTGAAATTATTATTTTTATTTCGAAATATTTAATATTTTCTATTTCTTTTTATAGCTACAAACACTTATGTTGTATTATAAATCAGTTAAAACAAACAATTAATATTTAATATTTTCTAATTCTTTTTATAATTTGACAGTTCCAAAACTATTAATTTGTATATTATAAATCCTAAACACATTGTGTAACTCGTAATTTTTCGACACATTCATATAACACTAACCAGTTAAAAACCAAACAATTTGTATAAATTAGCAAACTTATCATTCAAGTAAGACTTAAATTAACCAATAAAATATTTAATTTACCTCAAAGATAATTGTAGATTTGCTAGCACCCACAATCACTACTCAACCAACCACAAGTTGAACTTCCACCTATTTATAATAATAAAAAGACCATCAACATAAAAATTTCAGCAATTATTTAAAAATGGGGAAAAAAAACACAGCTCCAAGTTGTACTACATTTGTACAATATAACAAATAATTACCTTCAAATTATTATTATTTGCTAGCTACAAAAACCCCTTCTCAAAACACCACAAATTAAGCTTCCACCTAGTTATAACAATAAAAAACAAAATTAAAATTTCAGCAATTAAAAATAATAATATTTGTCCAATATAACAAATAAATACCTCCAAATAATTATTATTTGCTAGCAGCGTAAATCCCTTCTCAATCAACCACAAATTACATTTCACCTAATTATAACAATCAAAACACACCAAAATTTAAATTTCAGACATTATTTAAAAAAAAAGGATAAAAATATGTTAAATTATTAAAACATGGGATCAAAAGTGAAACTGATGTAAACTTAAGGGGCTAAAGTGTAATTTTATAATTTTCATAAATTGAAAAGAAACAAAATAAGAATTTTGAAGTCATTGATTTTGAATTTTGACCAAACATCCATAAATTCGAACGGTTTGAAATCTAAATCCTAATTATGGTAAAAAAGACGATTTATGGTCAAAATTAATGGCACTAAGAAATTAATGGTAAAAAAGACGATTTATGGTCTTGTTGAGGTAATACCTATTCTAATGTCATGACTAATTCTACCAATTTATCCACTAACTCACTAATAATTAATTAATTTATCCAACTAATTATTCTACTCGTATCATATTTAAACCATTAGAAAAAATTTAAATTTCAGAAATTATTTAAACACAATCAAACATTCCTTCTTAAATCCACCATAAGTTAAAGTTTAACCTAAAAATAACAACGAAAAACAACAATAAAAATTTGAATTTCATAATAAATTATATATATTTTAACAATACAAGAAATAATTTATCTCC